GGCACGCAGCTGCACTATTGTCAAAGTGGCCAGAAAACACTATGCAGTGGTTATACAAATTCTAAGAAATGATACCTCACATGGAGGCTGTTTCAATAAAGTCTCTCCATTAAACAGTTTGAACAATAGAGAAGGCTTATGCTGTTTAGCATTTTGTGTCATATGGATTGGATATTTCCAAGTTCATAATAGTGATAAAATCACATTTTCTGTCATTTGGAATTTTGTGTCTTGTCCCTTGGTTTTACACAAAACTTTGTACAGAAACAAGTGTTGAAACTGAGGAAAAATGCTATTGAAGAAAAGAACAATAATAGTACAACAACAGTGCTTTGTCTGGGATTTCTACAACTGCTTTTTTCCTGGCAGTGTGGCAAGAAGTGAAGTTATTGTTTAGATTGATGATAAATAGTTGCATGTTTTATCCAATGTGCAGAAAAACGTTAGAGTTACTGTGTTACAATCATTCCCTGCTTGTACAACCAACAGTACATATTGCCAAAAAGTAAAGAAAGCAAATTCATCTACCTTTCAGCAGGAGATACAATCTAGGCTGCATAAGACATCATTTTGGTTTGGGATTTTTTATCGTTAGCCCTACCCCTGTCTTTTATTTAGTAGACAGTGTGATACTCTCTCCGCAGTGCTTTCTCCAATGGTTCTGTATTGGTTTTCCTCCATGCATTTTGATGAAAGGTCTGTGGTAATTTCAGACAACTGAGGAAGTGTTTTCCTTTGACATTGCTTCCTTCTGTATTTGGTAGTAAGGTATTGTTCTCAGTTTTCAGTTTCACCTCAGTGTTATTAGTTACACAGCTCTTCCTCTGGTGGGTGTTGATCCTGCAAGTTGTTTGATGTTGACACTAGTCTGCACAGGCCTCAGTGGAGCCACTGCTCCAATATACTGACCACACAGAATAACCTGCAAAGTCAAGGCTTCAATTTGTTCAGTAAGTCATGGTTTGCAGTTCCCCCGCAGAACATAGGTCATTGTCTTCTTACTTCTTCTGCAGTCATTCTGTAGCTGCATTGCAATATGTATGTTTGGTATAACTTGCAATATTTAGGTTAGCAAGGTTTGGTATATATATATTATCAAGCTTTTTGGCATGTCCACCATCAGCGTAAGTAACAAGGTGTGAGGCACTGAGAGCTAAACCGAAGTTTACGGTCACTAATTCTGTCGAGTGTCTGACAGTGCAAGGATTTCAATTTTCTGCAGTAATCTAGAGTGACACTGTTATGCAGGAAGCTCTACCAGTCAAGTTCAGTCCTGCTAGAATGTGGCTTTTGCTGATTTTCATTTCATGCTTTAGGTTTATTTTCAGTATCAGAAGCATCCTTTGATTTCAGGCAGGGTTGTTGGTTCAAGCAAGAGACGACTTTAAGGGGTGGAAGTAATCCTGCACTGATGGAGGAAAGGTTTATGCTTTCATTAGGATTTAATTTTTGATTCCCTAGTTCATTGCAGTTAAAATGTTGGTGTAAATTCAACAATCTTTGCTGTACTGTGGGTAGTATGAAGAAGCAATGCAATTATCCCATGCAGTTATTCATATCAACTGTCCAGAGAATGAGCAGCCTTCGATTTTTACCCTAACTCTGCCTTCAAAGATATTTCATTGCTTGAGAATACAGTATGCTTTAGATCTTCTTCAGTCCCTCTGATTATGAGCCTAAATTTAACTTCTCTGCCTGACACAGCCCCGCTTCTTAACAAGGTTAGCATGACAGCTCTTTCCCTTGGTAAACTGTTATACTGAATGCCAATTGAAAGATAACACAAAAAGAGCTTCTTGAAAACAAACCCTTTCTATCCATTAAAGTGTACTCTGTACAAAGACCTACAACAATAAATATTTACATTTCTCCTTGCTTAGACTTTTGCCTTTCCTTGAAGATTTAGTAAATTTCTATCAACCTTGTTATTTCCCCGTGTACTGGGAGACTTTGATTGTTAGTTAGAGCTTCTCCAGTAGAGAAGTTCTACTCCAGCTGCTGACAGGCCTACTTCTTCTCTTCATCCTGAAGTTCTTCAATGATTTATTGTTGTCTTTGATCCCAAGCCTTGGCCTGGGTATAGCAAATTTTGCAAGCCAGATTACATCTGGTTAGATTGGTTCTGGCTAGCACAGCAGGGATATTCTCCAATAGCTCCACTTGTTGTCCCCTTAGGAAGTCTTAAGTATGTCACAATTTAATTTCTTCTTTTCTTCCCCTCTCATCTCATCCTTACCCTTTTCCACTAAGTTAGAGACTCCTGATAAAGATTTTGTATTTATAAGGTACAATATAGGACATTATATGTAGGAGTTGGGGAGACAGAGCAATAAGCACACTGATTTGGAAAATATTGGGGAATAGTGGAAAGATATTAATAGTAAAACTGCCATAATATGGAGGTGTTTCATATTAATTTTTCTCCTACTACAGATGTCTGTTAAAAGCTGGGCTTTGGATGCTCCTTTCCATATACCAGAATGAGCTGAATTATACAGTCAAGTACTTTGTTAGGTCGGTGTCTCGTTTTCTAATGGCTGAAGTCTGCATTACTTTTTTGAGAATACTTTTATAGCTTGCCTGAGGCTTTCTGCTACATTTATTATGAAGCACAGGTAGAGGTAGGTTAAAGTTTTCAAGCCTGAATGGATGCAGTTAGACATCCTAAATCCATATCTAGGCACTTTAGGAAATGTGATTTTCAGAGGTGGGGAGCATAGAAAAAGGTTCCAAATAATTTTGAGGCTAGTATTTTTGTGCATTAGATACCATTTTTTATGCTTAAGTGTATTTTCAAGCTCTGAAAATTTTGACTATATGGCAAAAGAGAGCTTTAGACTATATAGCCATTATAAAATATTTCAGAGCTGGATGAAACTCTGATTATCTAATGTATTTTTTTCCATTCTGACATAGGGCAGATTCCTGAAAACCCATTTACCAGTAACATCTTGAGTCTTAACATAAGACTAATCTAAAAATCAGCCTTTTTCCTTCCTGTGGTCTGCAGTATGACTGGCTGTACAACAAAGTCTTGCCCAAGAAAAAGTGTTCTTCAAGACATATTTTTTTGATAACTGCTCTTTGTAAGACTCAATGCTATATAAAGTCAAGGTTTTATTACTGAAAAAAAAAAGTCAGGGGCTGTCATTGCATTTCCCTCCAAATCTAACAGAACATCAATTTTACAGACTCAGTACTCTGTTCTGAACTTACACAGGAGTTTGGGATTGCTTTCCTTTGAAAAGCAACCACAGACTAAACACCCATAGTATTTGGTTCTTAAGGAAGCATAGAGAAAGGAACAACCCATGCAATTAAATTGCACATAGCCAAGTTTTTCAAGCTCCCTGTTCACCATCTAGATTGTCATTGGTGGAAACCTGAGTCTCCTGCTACTAGTTTCTGTGATAGCAGGATCTTTCCTGCTATGTGTTGCACTATGGAACATAAAAAATTTAACAAGGAAAATTGTGACACATTGTTCCTGAGAGACGCCCAAAGACTAATCTCTGAATTGAAAAGGTAGTTTAACTTCATAATGATGATTTGTTCAATATGAGTCTTATTTAAACATTTATGCATGAGTAGCTTTATATAAGTGGGTAGTTCCACCAAGCTAGATTTTTGTGTATTGCTTTGTTTAGATGTTTGGACAAGGTCAAATATCTCTTGTGCCTTCTCAGCATTTTCCTTTCAATTCTGTGTAGCTTAATAATGCTATTTGTTTAGTTCCCATCTTTGTGTCTCTGCTCCCAGCTTTGTATCTCTGTATCTCTGTTTTGACTTCAAACTCTTGAAGCTGAATCAATCTTGCTTTGCACAGATCACTGTAAGGCTTTATAAGGCTTTGTGCTGGTACCTGTAATTACTGCAGTTATTACAACACAGGAAACACTAAAAATCCAACTCTGAAATAAAATATATTGAGTAGGCTAATATAACTATCTAATCTGTATTAACTTCAGTTGCTTGGAGAGTGACGGTGTAGGAGTGAGTTATGCTGCTCAAATCCCAGACAGTGTCCTGCAATAATGCACAAGTAGTCTCAAAAGGATTGATTGAAGCTTCAAATACCAGAATTTATCTAAGTACAAAATAAGTAGAAAAAAAAAGCCGGGATTAAAAAAAAGTTTATTATCAAGTGAAGAAAATGCTTTACAAATTATTTGTCTTAATTCCACTGTTGCCATACCTACAAACCCAGTTTTCAGATGCCATGAATAAAAGGCCGGGTGTATGGATGCCATGAGTACCTTCTTGATCGGCAGCACCGGCCAGAGGCGAGGTGCAGCGCTCCCACCCTCCTCCCTGACAGGACCAGGCAACCCTCATCGCCTACCCCCGCAAAGTTTTGAGGCTGGAAGGCAGCTGGCCCGGCGGCTCCGAGAAACCGCTTGCTTGCCTTCTAGAGAGATTCGCTTTCCAGCTGCGGGACAGGGAAGGGACTAGCGTTTCCCACCGCTCCTGCTGCCTTCCCCTGAGCCACAGTGCCCCGGGAAATGCCGATGCGGAACTTGCCAGCCAGGGTCGAGCTGGCGCCGGCCTCCTCGGGAACGACCCCTCGGGCCGTGCGGGCCCCCGGCAGCACCTCCCAGCCCCCGGCAGCCGGCAGAGGCGGCCGCGGAGGCCGGGCTCCCTCTGGGCGGCAGGAGGTGAATGGCAAGCGCCGGCGTCTCCCTCCCACACCCCAGCGTCGGTCTCGCCTCCTCCAGCAGCAGCAGTAGCGGGTCACCTCTGCGCGGCTGAGCCGAGCCGAGCCGAGCCGCGCCGCGCTGCCTGCCGGCCGCAGCGCTCCCGGAGAGGCGGCTGGAGGCCACCCTCGCTACCTGCAGGGCCGCCGCCCGCTTGCGGTGACACTGGGAGGGCACTCCCGAGGGCGGCGCCGGGGCAGGAGCGCCCGTAGCCAGAGGCAGTCGCACCTCTCCCTGGCGGCGGGGAGCAGGGCGGAGAGCGGAGGGGCGGGCGGGCTCGGCTCCGGCTGCCCGGCTCTTCATTTCCTCTCGCCGTCCGTCGCGCTGTTGGAAGCTCCGGACTATAAATAGCAGCTCGTCCGCCACCGAGCGCCTCCCGCACACCGAGGTGGAAAGTGCCGCGCCGGCCGCCCCGCCGCCGGACAGGTACCGCCGCTCGGGAGGGGTGCGGGGCTCTTGATGCCGGCCAGGGTTTTGTTTCCTTGTTTTCCCTTTGGGCTCCGGCGCGTCAGGAGAGATCAGAAGCCGAGAATGGGATCCGGCAAAGTCCCTCCCTTTTATTCCCTTACCAAGTTTCTTAAGGTCGCAGCCCGCCGGGCGCGCAGCCCTGGCAGCGGAAGAAGGCGCGTTCGCCGGGAGCCGCGGTCGCCGCTGGGCGAGAGGTGATCCGGGCTGGCGTGCGCCGGGCGCGGTTGCCGCTCTCCCGCCTCCTCAGCGCCGGCGCTGAGGGAAGGAAGGTGGCCCGGCCGAGCCGGAGACCCCTGCCCGGCCCGCCCGCCCGCTCCAGGGGTCACTGGGAGTGCGGAGGGACCCGAACTGCCAGGGTGGCTTCTGGCTAGGACGCGTCAGGGATCTCCCGTAATTTCTCCCGACGGCGGCGACGTTGCCCGCCGGGATGTCGCCTTGGCCGCGGTGCCGCCCCCCCACCCCGTGCAGCTGTAATCGTGGTCCTTCCGAAGGGGTATCGGGAGGTCTCCAGGACCTTACCTGCAAAGGTTTTGTGTCGCCTTCGAAAGTTGGGAATACTCGGTAAGGGTAGCAACTTCTGTGGGTGATGCTAAGGGTTAATTTGGTGGAGTAATTAAGCTATAGGATCCCCGTATTGCAAAGAGCAGCGTCTGCCGAGATGTAATGGAAACCACAAGAAAGGTCTTACAGATAATGAAGTTGAGCAGAGTTGTAACTTGAAATTGTATCAGTCAGAAGAAGTGGGGTGGGGGATGATCAATTTCTGATCTATAATCGAGTAGAGCTCTGTTTTCTTTTTCTGAAATGACGCTGAGAATTTGAAGCATGGATGGCAGAGTTGGGAGTCCCACCTTTTTCCCCAAAACTGACCCGGTACCTCATCCAAAATAGAAATAATAGGATCAAGTCTTTGTGGAGCTGTGTTTTCATCTGATGCCTAATTATGTTTCCATTTATCTTCCTTGCTAGAAGAAATTTACTTATTTATTTACCCATTAGTGATGTGTTAAATAGATATACTAAAATCAGGCCATACGTAGGCCATTTAAATCTGACTTTCAATCTCAAAGATGAGAATATTTTTTGTCTGTACTGGCTTACAGGCACTCTCTGTATGTAAATGATGCCTACATAGCAAGAATGATGGGGAGAATGTCTCTTTCTCGGTCTGTATCAAAGAAAAAGTATGCAAATAATTGGTTACTAACTTCTGTTCAGATGAGTATTTGCAAGTGTGATAGAAGTCTTTAAAAAGGCAGTTTTCTAGTCACTTGGTTATTTCCAATGTTGTTTTTATTTTACTTGATTAAATTTGAGCTAGCTTTAAAGAGCTGCAGTATCTCAGGTTTTTTGTTCTGTGAACCTGTATATTGGATGGTGTTTGTGTACGTAAGCCCTCATTACTGTATCTATCCATGCTAGACTGAATGTTGTTTACTTCACACATGTTGATAATTTCACCAAAATTAGGATACAAGTCACAAGATGAGTATGAACAGCAATTAGTCCTGTGAGATTTTCACAGCCCTGATGGCGTTAGTGGCAGCATGTGGCAGTGTTACTACTTCAGAGCCCTATTTTTGCTTTTTTCCTCCTCTTCCACTTTCTGACAGTTTCTACAGCACTGAAGATAAGATTAAATCTTTCTTGAAAATACATCTTTTATTTTAATGGCTTTCTTGGACTCACTGAAGCTTCAAGTTCCTGTTCTCCATGGGTTCCTGAAACCTTGGAAGTACAGCTGATCCTTCTTTTGCTCCGGTTTCTTTGGCGAGACTTATCCATGAAGCTGCTTTAGTGTTTTTGATCAAAGAACTCTGTCTTCCTCAGCCTAAGGTATATCTGATTGAGCAGTTGTATCCGAGTACCTCTTACATATCCTCCTTTATGATCTATAGTCTCCTTATCTTCAGATCTGACAGAAAGATTTCACATTAGGTGAAGGTTTTGTGAACCAAAAAGGCAAGATTAATACTCTGCTTAGTGCCTAGAAGTCTACTGTACTGTAAGAAGAAAAAAAAAAAAAACAAAACCAAAACAACCCAACACCCCAATAAAAACCACAGGAGTGGAAGACCTGCCTGGAGCATGGAAGTCAGTCTGTAAAGGACAGTGCTGCTGGCTGACATTAATGTGTGGAGGCTGTGAGAAAGTCTGCAGGTGAAGTAATTGTTTGAATAGGCCTAGGCCTAAATTCACTGTGAATTTTTGGAGGCAAAGTAGTGGCATTGATAGGTATGCTGAATTATTTAGCTTGTTATGGATATGTATTTTTAGCATATGACTTCTGCAGAGAAATATGAAAACAATACTCTTTGAATTTACGTAGCAGATTTACACGAGGAAGTAAGATTGTTTACTGAGACAAATCTGAAGGTGGACAGTTACTCCCAACACTAAAGTTTCTTCAAAACTTCTGATGACTTGAGGCCTCATGCTTAAACACTTGGGTAAACAGCTTAAACACTGTATAGCTAACACAGTTAGCTGCATATCTCTCCCTAACTTATATATTCATAGCTCTTCCTGTATGTCAAATGCTCTGACTGATGGACATTTATAGGAAGGGCTAGTTTTGCTTGGCTTATTAAATATCTTGTATTATACTAATATTTTATTGTTATTATTGATGAATGGTGAATGTTATTTATTACACTTTTGAGAAAGGATTCTTTCTTTGAAGTAATCTGGGATGATATAGCTCAAATTCTATGAAATACTTTTCCCCGGATTTTTAAATTTACTTGTAAATCTCTCTTTGATTGTCAAAACATGACCCTGATGGAAGGGTGAAATGTTATTTGGCATGAGTTGGCAGTCCTGGCCTCATCAGGCCTTGGGTCTTGTCTGCTATTTACCCTGGGTTTAGGGGCCCTCCCCACACTTTCTGATTTCACCTACAAACCTGGCAATCTCACTACAAATTTGTCCTGACTTCTCCATCTCTTTATCCAGCAGCAGGCACAGCTAATTTTGCTTTTTTTTTTTTTTTTTTTTTTTTTTTTTTTTTTTTTTTTAAGGGAATTCTTAATTCTTCCTTAACTCAGCTGGGTAAGGATCTGGTCAGTTAACTTCTCAGACTCTCCTGTCCTGGGTAGTTGATATGTTACAGAAAACCTGAGGCAAACTGAAAGGCCAGCTGGGTTGCACAAGGTTTGAGTGTGGTCTGAGATGTCTTCACAGTCATACAGGATTTTAATTAAAAAGACTTGCTTGTCTTCATGCAAAATCCATGCTGGCAATTCTAAAGAGGGCTTGAGGTTTGTGAATATTGGTTTCCTGGTGTTTGGAGAGCTGGGCTTTTACTGCTTGCTAGAAGAGGAAAAAAAAATGTATGAGCTACTGATGTAGAATTCTCTAGTCCATTTTCTCCATAATGTGCAAAGGAAGATTCAATTGATTTGGCCAGGTCAGTAGCTGAAATAACATACTGAAAAGTGAAGTGAACATCTTATGCTGTACATGGTATGATTATGAATATGTCTTGAGAGGGAGTGAATAGAACAAACTGTATCTGCCTATTCTGTAGGGTTCTCAAGTTTACAATGATAAAATTTACTTACCTATTTCAGTAATGGGTTTTGAATTGGTTGGTGTCAGTGTAGTTGGTGTGACTTTTGAGAAATGTAGAATTATTTCTGCTTTTCAAGTATTATAGATCTGAAGTCTAAAGCACTTGCCACCCTTCAGAATCCAAAGAGACTGGGCTGGAGTGTTCTTTTTACAGTCGCTTCAGCTCTGGCACTGCACAGGAGGTTTTAAATTTGGTTTGGATGTTTAAAGCCTTTTTGTCTCAGTCTGGCAAACTAAGTGTCTTCCTATTTGTCAGTGAATTTACCCCACAGGTTGCTGTAGATTGTTTTTAATGTTGAACCAGGCTCTATTAAATTAAAATACTTAAGAAAACTAAAGCTCAAGGTGCTTACTTGACGTAGTACCATGTCAAAGTGTTAAATGTGATGCTGTTTTTCAAGGTCACTTTGGCAGTCTGAGTTTATGCTCTGTTACTGGGTGCCATGGTGTTAAAAATCAAATCCATCAGTGCTTTTTTGATAGATTTCTTTTGTTTTGTTTTGTATCCTGTTTCTATGAAATTTCACCATGACCCCAGTGAAAATTTATCTTGAGTATGTCAGTAAAGTCAGTCTGGGGGGAACTTTCTCTTAAATGTAACATATATAAATAACTAAACCACTTTCCTTTGGGTCAATTTCTTTCATTCTGCTATCTGTACTCTTGCCATTTGGAGTTTCTTGCTGCAATAACACTATTTTGGCAAATAGGGTGAAGTCTCTTAATATGAGGCACTACAAAGACCCTTTTTTTTAACGTGACTGTAAGAAGTGGATATGTAAAGGGCAATTAAGAGGAAGAAAGTCTTGGAGGGAATAAGCTTTTATTGTATTTTGACAGCTGTTCATGTACAGTCAAGTTTGTGTATTATTTGTTTAGTTATCAAGTGTGATCTTAGTGTATTATAGCAATGCTAGTAAGATGCACTAAACCTAGGGTACATATTTCTATTATGAAAATATGAACATGCAAATGGGTGTAAAATCTAGGTATTAAATGTGGCTTTGTATCTTGTGCATTTGTGCAGATGGAGCATTAAGCAGAATGCATCAGCTCTGGTGTTGTACGGTGTTTCTCTAGCAGCAGTAACAGGTTCTGTTTGCTTTGTGTTTGTGTAAGTGGCTAAAGAAAACAGCTGTCAGTAAATATGAGTTTTTTAAGATGAAATAACTTTCTCTGCTATAGAAATGTAATTTTGGAATAATATTTTTATTGGGTTATTCCATATTGTTCTGTAAATGAGAACAGGGGTTGTTACACAGAGTAGGAGTTAGGTTATTGTGAACATCAAATGCACTCAGTCTGCTATTTTTATAGTTTTAAAAATATAGTATAAATATAACATATAAAACAATATTTTAAAATATTGTAAAAATATAGTTAAA